ATCTAAGTTTGTCATTTCAGAATTCGTATATTCAACGATTTATTGCAATTTTTGGCACTATCCATACAGCATATACTTCCAAGGAACGTCCTAAAAACATCCAGAGAATGTTCTATGTTCTAAAAAAGTTTTCAGGATATTCCTCGGATAAAAAAGTGTACTGTATGAGTATCTTCTCGTGATATTTACAATGCATCAGCGTCATGTCATGTTTGAGTTACTGCGTTTTCTTCATAGAGAAAATTCATCTTTCCTTTTAAGATGACGCCATGGCTGATGGCATTCTTCTGTCTGGCAACCGCGAGCTGTTCGAACGTCACGGACCAGCAAACATCGGAAACGCAACATGATCAAGTGGCGATCTTGAAGCAGATCAGAAAGGTGAACGAAGACGGCTCTTACACGTATGGTTACGAAGCTGGTGATGGCTCATTCAAGGTAATTATGTGCGTAACTACTTAAGCGCGTAATTTAACCGCGCCTATCATCTACTTTTCCGAGAATCATAAATTGCACCGCACAATCGGTTCCCACACTATCGAATATTAATTAACCGGAACAATTCTTTTCATTTCTGATTGCGTTTAAAATAACAATCTGCTAAGTGAGCAATGCCAATAGCAATTTTAATTATATCAATATCAACAGTAATTCAATAGATAATCTAATGGGCTGTTATAATTACGGCAGGCAATTAGAAAAGTTATACCTTATTATATAATTTCATTTATACTTTCATCAGTCTCATCTATAATTATAGAATTTTCAAAAAATTCTGTTATTTAAATTAATAAATCGAGCGAATATGTGTGTAAATGTTTAAATTTAAATTATTATTGAAATATATATTTTGGAAATATATATTATTATCATTCAAATATCTAATAAAGCAAGATTGTACAGTAATAATATTTATTATACATACCTATATGAAATTATTTTTTTACTTTTCATATTTATATATTTCATGTTATATGATAATTGTATTAATAAAAAGATTGATTTGTTCGTGCAAGACGTGACGCCATTCTCACGAAAAAAATGAACGGAACTTGCTTTGTCAGGTCGAGAGTCGTGATGTTTTGGGCAACATTAAAGGCACGTTCGGTTTTGTCGACGCTAACGGCGAGATAAAGAGGGTTTCGTACTCCTCTTCGAACGGGACGGGTTTTAAAGCAACCACCATGTCGCCATTGCAGGAACACGTATCAGTCGTGCAAAGCATGCCGCGCATTAATCGTACGTTAACTACGAAAAGACCGACCATCGTGTACGCCACGACGACGGAATCGTCGACCAGACCGTCAGTGGTACAGTCGATTCCTCGAACGAGGAAGACAACTACGAGTACCACCACGACGACCACAAGCACCACCACTACAGAGGCACCGAAGACAATATTCGGACACTACTTAAAGGGCACGGCGAAGAACAGGCCGCGCTTGGTCATCAATGGCCAGCAGAGACCGATCGTCATTGAGGAAGACATCGAAGACGAAGATTCGCAAATTAATCGACCCAGTACGGATGACAAGAGTGGCGCTTATCGGAAGATCATCTTTGCCAAGCGACCGATTGAACACAGCCTCCCACCGATCTCTGAGGATTTCGTAGAGAAAGAAGACGACGGGGTCAAAATCACGACGGGGAACAACTTGAGGAGGCAATTGCACGACGAGACAACCAAGTCGAATTCCGATAACGACGAACATTCCGACGTTTATGGCGGTTCATTGTCCACGACGCGTCCTTTGTTCACCACGTCATCTCCATCGCGAATTCTCCAGAGGGTCTCCACTACTTCGCGCACAGAACGACCGAAATTCTATGTCAATCGTCAAGAAAATCTAGGAGCGGGTGGTCGATTCGACAGTCCGAAGTATGACGATTCTCGGGTCTACGAGACCGAGACGAAACCCCCCCAAGAGGAGCGTACGTCGACTCAGCAGACCCTACTTCACGGTTCTACTACCAGAGTACCAGCGGATATCCGGGACTATGTCAGACAGAGCACCGAGCCTGTCTTCATGAGACAGCAGCCCGAGCAGTATCTGCGAGAATTGCCGCCCAGAATACTCGTTCCGTCCCAACCGGGCAATCTCGAGGAGGAAGGAGGCGTCTACAGAGCAATACCGATCAGTAGGATCCTGTTGAGGCCTCCGCCGAATCATCAGCCGGTCTACTCGAGCACGACGGACGCCAACGTTCATTACCTGACGGAGACTCCCGTGCCCGATCCCGAAGATGAGGCGCGGATCGCGATAAACATGAACTATATGCGTCCACGTCCTGTACGACCGCTGATGTATTCGGACGCCGATCAAAGAGCACGGCCGATCCTGCGACCGATTCCTGCGAACGCGGTAGTTCATCCCGACGACAGGGACTATCAGGCAACCACGCCCGAGACTGTATATCCTTACCGGACTGGCGCACTGCCGCTGCCTCCGGAGCCACCGAATCCGATCGCACCGCCTCTGAGTCGACGAGACTTTCAGACGTTGCTAAGGAGGCTACTGGTGAGCCAATATGGCGTACAAGCCCTATCGTACCCAAAGAGCTTCCTCGAAGATGCTTTATACGATCAGCAGCCATATCCTTCGTATCCAGCGGGCTTTCAGGCGCCGCTTCCGAGACCCGAACTCGCGTACGATCAACAAGCGCAATACGGTGAGCGAGTGTCCCTGAGACGTCCGGTGTATCCTCGGGCTCTAAGCCCGCTCTATCATCCCCAGTACGACGAATACCACGACAGATATCCCAAGAGAGTGTACAGGCAGAAATTTTACACGCATGACGAAAATGACGAGATCCTACCAGCGCCTATTAGAGAAGCCTTGCTGCTGCGAATGGTAAATCTAGCGATCAACACCGAACGGTCAACGGCCGTTCCGATGACCACCACGACACCGGCGTCGAGATACAGAAAGGCAGGCCCAGTCAGAAGCGTGCAGATCATTACGGACGATGAGGAAGGGGAGAAGGACGCGAGGAAAAAGATGTAACGAGTGGGTTAGACGTAGTTAGGAATTACGAAAAAGTATTACTTATTGCGAGTACATGATACGAGTTAAATTATTGTCGAATTTTAACTAATTGTTACAACTTTTTTTTTACAAGACGAAAGAACCTTGACGTGAAAGTTAACGAATTTGCTTCCGACAAAATAATTTTTTTAGATATGTAATTTTTACCATTACTAATTAATCCTGGAACGGTATCGAATTCTCACGGTAGCATATTTAAGCATGACGAAGGGGCTTACGTCAACGGTAACCTTCTTTTTTTGTAGTGGACGAACGGATATGTCCATCAGCGTGTAAGGATCAATGTCTTACGTGCAACGGACGCATTCGTGTCGTTAATGAATCGAATCGTTTCGCGAAAGGGAAATCGTTGCTGCGCAGCCCGACCGATTTTCTGCACGATAGCTTGCCAACATTTGTTGACGCATATTTACGTGTTTTAGAGTAGGTGCATCAGTGTACGACC